AATTTTTATTATATTTTTTGATACATATTGATGTACTTATGCTACGTAGAAAGTTTGAGGTGATTCTGACTAAAACTTGTTAGTTATGAGCCAAAAGAAATTAAAAATACAAAATACTAAGTACAATAAACAATGCATGCCAGAATATATTATACTTATCATTAATTCCTTACCAAGAGGAAGTGGCCAGCATTTTAGAATCAGGTGAGAATTCACAATAAGATACTGGTCTAGTGTCTCCAACCTGACTGCATATGTTAGTCATGTCCTAATAATTAATTAATAGAATTAATGTTTTATCATGACTCAATCACTCGTAGTTTCCTATGCAGTTCTTGTTTCTTTGCAGCTTTTTCCGGTCCGGGTCTTTTAGCCTCTAGCCTTGCCTGAACTAACCTTTCCCTAGCCCTGAAAGACAGTGAATCAATTATAAAAGTAACCATTTAATAATATAATGACAGATCTCTTCAACTAGTTGCTAAATTATTAGACTGTGTAGTACAATACTTACTAGTACAATAATACTACATTGTACTTACTTATTACACCAAACAGTTAAAAAAGGACTTTAAAATCAATACATATACAGTATACTACAGATACAAAATACATGTACATGTACAATACTAGTATCCCTATACCTGGGCATGGAGTATTCAGTGATCCAGTATCTAGCTGATAATAGTTCGGCAGTTCCTTCGTGATACCAAACTGAGTCTTCATCAATCGCCTCTTCATTAGTATCAGTGGTTTGGGACACCTGCTTCTGCTCTAAACTAACCTTGATACCTCTCTCGGCTAATTAATAATAATTAATAATAATAATTAATTAATGGATTGGTTGATTAATTTAAGTACCAAGTTGAGCGACAAGAAGTCGTAGTCTCTCTCTTCTGTCAGCTGGTCCTTCACCAAATAAACCTGGAAATGGAGGGAAGAGAGAAACACATTAATATACATGTATGTATATAGTCTAGCCTCTATATAATGGACACTGTGTCTCTGTTATACAGAGGTGTCCTTTATGTGGAGGTTATTTTATACAGTAAGGAATGTAATTGGTACACTAGGTGCTGTCCGTTAAATGGAGGTGTACACTATAGAGAGTGTCCATTAAGAGAGGCTAGACTATAAACTTACAAATAGGTTGTCCCATTTCTCTCAGTTTTGCTTTCACTTCAGAATCAGACGTTGGCACTACAATAGACCGCACCTATTTATGGGTGGAGCAAAAAGTGATTGGAGTTACAAGCAAAGTTTTAATTAATTAAAAACTAACTCTTTTCTTCTTTTCAAATTCATCTATCAGTACTTTCTGTCTGTCAGGCAATTGAGCAACATCAACTGAAGAATCTGAAACAAATTAAATATGTATATCAATAATAATGCATAATACATGCAAGTACATGTAACTACGCCCACGCACCACTAGTAATGTTAATGTTTCCAGCTTTTATTCCAGCAAGAACAGAAGATGACGTGAAAGAGGATTGCCCTGATAGTAAACGCTCTCTCTCTTTCTCTTCCAGACTCCCAAAGTGTATCCTTTTCTTTCCTTCCCCGCTGCTCTCGGTCTCCATTGCTTCTTCTTCCTTTTTGGCCGCCATTTTATTAAAGGTTAGTAGAATTATCATTTTAAGTTTAACAATAAACTACACAATGTTAATTAATAAGTAATAATAAGATTAATAAACTACTAGCCTATCATTGCATGTGTCACAAATATAAAGGAAACCATCTTTATCAAATGTCATTCCAACATGAGGACGATAAAACTGATCTTCATTAGCTCCTTCCTCCCCAAAACTACGAACAAACACACCATCACTAGTGAAGATTGAGACACGATGATTGTTATACTCACTAACATACACTAAACCAGCATTATCTACTGCAATACCTGCTGGACGATTAAGCTGACCAGGACCAGATCCTTCACCACCAAACTTCGACACTAGGTACTTACCATCATGAGTGAATTTTTGAACACGATGATTATTATAATCAGTGACATACACTAAACCTTCACTGTCAATAGCAACATCAACAGGGCCTTTAAACTCTCCATCACCTGTTCCTTTTGTACCAAATGAACGGCAAAACGTTAGATCAGGATTAAGTACCTGTACACGATTATTGCTATACTCAGCAATATAAATACGTTTCTTCAATGGTGAAATAGCAA